CTGCAGCGAATGGCAAGAAGTGGAGAAAAGGAAAGAAAGATGGAAGCGATCGTAACCTAGCAAGTCCATGATCGGAATACATAATGTATGGCTTTACCGATTAAGCGCTTACTGTAACTATGACCAAGGTAAACTCTACGGCACTTGAAGTTTAAACCGGCAAACACTGTGTGAAGAGTCGCTGGTCTTACTTACTTGACTACTCAGGCATAAAATTTAGAAAATTATTAAGAGAAAGTATTCCCAGAAAACAAGGAGGAGCAGGTATTTCCATTTTATTTCCACATCGAAGATGAAAGCACAACAAAAGACTTTAAACACAATTCCCGAGAGTGTTTCGTTTCATTTAATTATTTATTCATTACTAATGGCATTCAGACGAATTAAGTAAGACTGCTAAGATTGAAGGCTGGAGAAGATCGTGAGATCAAAAAAGCATAGAAATTTTCATATTGACCAGTTTCGGTGAAAATTTTCAGTTTAAAGTAAACAAAATTTTATAATATTTTTGTGCTTAAAGAGTGAAATTAAAGCTAAGGCTTAACACGTAGCGTAGATATCAATCAAAAGGAAACAGTAAAGTTAAAGCTAACAATACTTTCAGAGTTTAAAGGTTACATAAAAAGCGATTATATAAGTCTTAGGACTTAGTTTTTTACAAAGTATGGTCTATCGCTTTAAGACTCGAAACTGTGACCACCGACTTGGCGGTTTCTAGTTTTGTCGGATATCCTTACAATATATATTTTAACCATATTTCAAATTAATATTTCAATGAGTTGAAAAAGCATTTTATTGAATTAAAAAAAAAAAATTTATAACAATTTGGTAACTTTTTAATTTAAATTCATTTTTAATGATTTTAAAGTAATTTAAGTATGAAGAGATAAAAATATTCTTATATTAAAGTCTTAGCTTTTCTAAATGTAAATACATTCGTATTCGTTCATACACAATTGTAAGAGTTTCTATAAGTCGAAGTAAAGAAAGAGTCTGAAGGGCTTATAAATAAATAATATTTAACAAAAATATTTCACGCACGAGTTATGTGCCATGTTTTTCACGCATGAAAAATTTCATGATTTTTCCAAGTATTTTATGTATAGAGCAAGGATAAGTATGTATACCTATACCCATATATATATATAATGCATATATGAATTCCAGGCTTGAAAACATTACGATGTATTCATGAATCCATAAATATGACTTTGCCTACATTATTTTCTATATAATAGAAAAGAGTACATATAAGTTTGTGAGTAGTGTTAGTGTATGAAGGAGTTGTGTAGGTGGTCTTCAGAAAGTACAATTTTTTTTTGTTATGGATGTATGCATTTATTTGTATGCATGTATACGTACAACATTGTTCGTACTTCAAATTTAATTGAATGCAAAGAACCATAAATAGTTACGCGGAATACGTAACAATGTTGCAACGAAACGTTAAACTTTAACTGTAACGTATATAGCGATTTATAAGCGATCTTGAGCATTTCTGTAGAGATGAATTCAAGCGTAAACGAAGGTTATAGTAAACTGATGAAATAAGCGACAATTTTTTCTCTTGATTTAAGAAAAAAAATCTTCTTTTAAAACACAAAATATTTCAATTTTTAGTATTCTATAGCGGTAAGACAGCAAGAAGCAGTTCGATTAGGATGAGTTGTTTGGTGGTTCGTCAATCATTTCATCACGATCGAGAAGACTTGCTCTTATGTCTCTTGGCAAACGATCTAACTTTGCCTAATACGTCAATTGACTAATTTACGATTCGATATAGAGAAGAGAATATTATGACCAGCATTGCCCCGCTTGTGTCATTTGCAGCGTATTTTACAAGAAAAAGACGGCCCGTTACTAAAAAATTTCGATTTCAAAGTAAAAGCAAGGTTTCGTGGTGTGGGAACAATAAGAAATGAAATTGTTTGAAACTTTTTAGTTCGAATTTTCAAAACTATTTGCAAAAAACGCTCTTGAGATGTAGTGCTTTTAGCCCACCATCCTTGGCCAAGCTGTCAGTTCATCTGCCGTTTGATGGCGAAAGGCTCGATACACAAAAGCAACGCCTACAAGAACACAACGCACGAATATGCGAATACATTTTCGTCTAAAATCTATACTAGATTGTGGTTTGGTATTTTGCTAATATTATAATATGTGTAAAAGAAATCAAAAGCACGAACTTACCATGCTTGATCCATTGATGCATTAAGGCCAAATTATGTTTCTTACTATCATCATAACTCTTCCTTTTTTTTCTGCTTTTTCTCTCACTGTTTCTTATTCGTTTTTTTCTTTTACTTTATGTTACGCTCGCTCTTTACGTATTTTCTGCTTTTTCTGTCTCTAATTCTCCTTTTTTTCTGTTATTTTGTTGCTCTACTTCTTGTTTTCTCATTTCTTCTTTTTTTTAGCCTATCACTATTCCTTTCTTATCTTCTTTTCTTCTTCTTATTTTCTCTATCCTTCCTTTAATTTCAAATCATTTTTTTATAATTTCATTCTCTATTCTTTTCTTTTTCTTCGCCTTATTTTTCTCCTTTCCTCCCTCCTCTTGCCAACTCTTTTACATTCATGCTATTCTTATTGCTTCTACCTGCCTCTAATCTCTCTGTTTTCTTCCTTTTCGCTTCCTATTTGATTCCCTGTCTTTTCCCTTTTTCCTCTCTCTCTTTCTCTCTCTCACTGGATTTCTCTCTCTACCTCTTTTTTTCAGCTCTCCATCCATCGATTAATACTCGGTTTTTCTCTTCAACTTTCTTCTCTGACTTTTCTCCCCAGCTCTTTGGCTTTAAGTAAGGACCAACTTTGTTTTCTGAAAATGTTAGCCATGAATGAATAATGAAAACAGTCTAATTTGCAATCCAGAAATCAAGAACGGCTAGATGGAATCATCCCATCGATCCATAATGTTTCACAGGCATTACATGCATCAATTTTTCAATTCGATGATGACGGGTATTAGAATATTCTACTTCAGCTTAATGCAAATTTTGTCTTCCTTTTCTAGCTGCCTTACCTTAAAAAATTTCCATTTCTGTCAATGACATCTGTTCTTTTATGCTTGATGTATAAATTCATAAAAAACGAGTACATGAAATAATGTAATTTTTAATATATCTCATAACAGAATATTTTTAAGCTCTACGTACACACACGTGACTACAAATATGTACATGCATGCAAAAATGTATTCTTTTAAACATAAACTCTTATATGAAACGAAACTTTGATGCTCACTACCTGCATGTAGCTCTGGTATGTGTAGCTGTATTAAGTTGATTTCTATAAATTGTTTACTCTTTACAATGAACATTTGATGCGATGTCATTTATTTTTTCAAGCCTAGACAGTAACGATACTAGACGTAAATAAGTCCGTCTTTCGCTTTAACTTTTAATTTTTATTCGAAAACAATTTCAGCTAGTGAACTAAATAAGATCGAGAACACTGCTAATTTAGGGGGCGTTCAATATATATTCTCTAGTTTTCACAAGTAAACTGATAAAATAGCAATACCCTCTCTATCTATCTTTACCCCTATATGGTAATGGTGGGTATTCAGAAACTGATTGCTTTATAAAGCTATCGTTTAACATATTGTTGTTGTGCAGTACGAGAACAATGAAGATTATAGTTCGTAAGTTCATTGAAAACGGAAGATTGTGTTCTACGGAGAAAAATTGTATGAAAATTCAAGGAAAAGAAAAAAGAACTTCAATTTACATAAAATAAATTAAGAGAACAAAAATATTCTATACTGGCAAAAAAAAAAAAACAAAAAAAAAAAAAAAAAGGGAACGATGGCAACTTTTAAAAGTTAGCGTTCTTCTCCTACTCACCCGTATGGCATAAAAGCATTCGCAAAGAAATATTTTTACTTGTGCTGCCACGAAGAAAGAACCATATAACCGTAGAAAAACTTATCATGAATTGATGAATTTCCGTTGATGACATTTGTCAACAAGTGTTGATAATGGAAATGACTGTCGGTGGGAGAAAGAGAAGATAAACCCAAGTGATTTATTTTCATGTTAAAGTTTTCCTTCAAGTTTTTTTTTTTTTTCTTTTCATTTTTTTGCTTTTTATGTTTTTTTTATTTTTTTATTTTTTTCATGGTTTACTCACCAAGACTACGTATTCTTAACGTTTGATGGTTAAAGTCTATTAAAGTTCAAGAAAAATCATTAAAAAGCATCAAAAGTAAGCATAACCAAGAGTCCTTTATAAATAGAAAACTTTGTTAAAACTTTAAATTGAATTGAATCGCGGGATTTTTTTTTTTCATTTTTTAAAGGACAACTATAAAGGAAAACGGAAGACTTTTCCATGAAAATATCTCACTTAAGCTATGGTTATTTATACAAAAATTCATTTAAGTTTGTCCTTTTAAAGCAAATTCATTCAGTTCGTAGAAATCCAAGTCTGTTGCATGATTATATTAATTTTTTGCCCGTTATCTCTGCTTACATTTCCCTATCGTTCCCATCATTTTCCTTCCGTAAGGTTTATTATTATGTTTCATATTTATTATAAACTTTGTATACAGGTTCTTTATACTACTGTAGAGAACTTTCGTTCGTGTTTCGTGTTCGTTATCGACATCAACATTAATCTCTTTCAGAATTTATTTATTATTTATTTATGGTTTAATCAGTTAAGCTGTAACTCTTTTCAGTTGCCGACGAGACGTTGTTGTTAGTTGCTGCTGCTGCTGCTGCTGCTGCTGCTGCTGTATTACACTTTCACGATATGTGATTGCTTGTCTGTGCGCACTGATATGGATAAAATATGGACTTCAAATCGTGTTTCAAAAGTTAATTCAAAAATATGCTGCACTTATTTTTATATAATTAACACCGACTTCGGCATCGCGAATTTGTTGCTATGCTATTGTTTGTTTGACGTAAATGATTTCATTAAATTTTTAGAGTAAATGAATTTTTATTTTATATAGAATGCATTTCGGTTTAATTCGTTGCAAATAAACCGCTATGCTATATATCCATATCTTGTGCCTCTTCCTCGCTATAATCGGACATACTAGATTCACTGTCGCTGCTTTCGACACGCGTTGTCCGCAAAGCTTCTTCGGTGGCATAGCGTTGCACATATTCAATTACTTTGCGATCATATTTATCACGTTCATGCAAATACAACGAAGCTGCGTGTCGATTAAGCGGATCCGTCGGATTTGGATATGTTAGCAGTTGCGGTAAGAAACATTCAAATATATTCGAAAGATCGTATAATGCCGTCCAAGCCTGATTGATGACATCGAGACAAACTGTGCCCGACGATTCGTCGATATTGGGATGATAGATTTTATTAACAAACCCTATGCTCGGCGATTTGAAAGGATAGGTATCTGGCAGATGGACTCTCACTTTCCATACACCTTTCTCATAAGGCGTCTCAAGCGGTCCAAAGAATTTCACTTGAAATTCATTAAGGTCTGCTAAAATGATTACTTCATGTTTTGACTTTATTAGCTTCATAATGTCATTATCGATTCGCCGTTTACCGGCACTTGGCGATGCCATTTCGCTATATTTATCCGTCTAACAAAATGTTAATGATTTCTTCTCAAAATTTTAATTTTATATTATCTGGAAAATATTATAACGCAAAATATGTTGATCGACTGATGAATGAAGCTAAAAATCAAAATATAATAATAATAATGACAACTTATGGAAAGCTGCTACCATATATTAAAATTTCTATCTCGGTACTAAATGAGTTTACTTAATGGACAAGTATTATTTTTTCGTGGGAAATAATGAAAAGAATGCATTGACCTTAAAGAGATCTAGAAAATCTAGAAAAACTGCGTTGTACTTAAATACGTAATGTCTTCCTGACTTGGAGAGCATTCTCCATCTTAACTTCGCGTAGCACGTCACTCGTGGGCCGATCATTAGATGCAATTAGATAAGCGCTTCGCAGAAATGCGTCTTATTGCTGCAGTCTCTACAGTTCCTGGACTGATGGGCTGCTTATATACATTCCAAAGGTTCAGTACAGTGCAAACGCTACTAAAAAGAAAAAACCCCAAAAACAACATTTTCATATTTAAATCTATGTAACCTTTTTATGCTAACCCTTAACTTGGATTCTAAGAGTTCGTGTTCATTTAATAGTATTGTCTTGCTGAGCAGTTACGATTGACTCTTAGATCCCCTATATAAGGTGCTACGAATTTACTGGGACTAAGCACTCTTCTCCACGATTATGTGGTGACAGAAAACTGCTCTCATACTCTTAATTCACGTTGACGTAAGCGTATCAGCCGCCACACTCAATTCATTCCGTATTGCATCCTCGTTGCATGCAACCCAGGGCTTATCAGCAGATCCTTACCATTTTAATATGCCGGCCGATTTGTAAACAGGATATAAAATGTAAGAAAAAATCGTATGTTAAAGTGTTGCAAGCAGTGAGAGTTGCAAAAATCCATTATTTACCCTATCAACTGTTACTTAAAGCATTGAGATCTTCTTCAAGCTTTTCTTACGTAAACTTTAATAATGGAAGAATAACATGAACTGAGAAAAAATAAAAAAAAATAAAAAAGTAAATAAAAAATAAACTTTGAAGAATTCAATTATTTAGTTATAAATGGTTCCTCGTTCCGACAATATTCACTTAATATTTAATGAACCATAATAATGGTAAAAAGTATTTACTAGAGGCAATAAATAGAAAAAGCTAGAAGAAGAAGAGAAGAACTCTTTCCTTCCTTCACTACAGAATATCTAAATATTCTCTATAAAGTGTGTAACGTAACTAATTCAATAAAATTCGAACAAAGGAGGAAAATATGAGAAGGATGACTTTCAATATATTTTGTTGATATATGTATGTAGTTATATTATCAATTCGCTTTTTACGTATCTGTCCGGTCTGTCTAGCTTTCATTCATTCGTTGTCGTAACAAGATTAAATGAAAATAAGATCACATGAATAAAAAGAAAACAATTTATGTGCCTTTAACGTTTTATAACGATTAACTATTACATACATTATTCTACTATTATATACGATTGTGCACATTTACAATATTTATGCTGGTAGCAGGTCAGTTTATTGTATTTGTGCTAACTGCCATTGTATGTTTTGTATATGCTTGCTCTACACACATAAATGCCTTAAAAGTCAGTCTAATGCAATAATTCAATCTTTTTCTCATACGCATACACAAATGTGTGTGTTTGTGTGTGTGTGTGTGTGTGTGTGTGTGTGTATATAAGCGATTCTTACTTGATATCCGAACACAACACTTATAAATACTTATACTCATCTATGCTTACATATATATACATATATATATATATATACATATGAATGCGTACAGATAAGTTAAATAATGGCTTTAAGTAAATTTATGAACACCCATGAATTTTAAATGTATTACTGCTCTTTCCTTCTCAGCTTCGACGCCCAAAAAGTATGCAACATATATTTTCATATATACATGCGCATATATATATATATATATATATATATATATTTTGTTTTTTTTTTTATACAAACACTAGTGTGAAATAATATGACTGCAATAATCATGAAGAAAGAGAAAGCATTAGTTTTTCTCCTTCGTTTGCTAAGAATCAAGTAACAGAGAGCTTATCAAGTTTTTGGCTTCTTTAGCATAGCTGCAGCTGTACTTGCACTATTGGTTGAAGTTCACAATTCAATATCGAAGGTGTCATTGAGCGTAAGAAGCAATCATATCTTAAGAAAACAGAGCCACAGTCCAAAATATTAGCGAAAACAATCTAAAATGTCGGGGCGCAAATGATGACAATCAACTAATTAGCTTATCAAAAATTAAGAAATCTTTACGATTGTTGCGACTAAAAAATATGTATCTATCTTGGGAATGAGACCAAGCAAGAGCCCTTTAAAAAATATTTTATATATATGTGTATAGTATATATTATATAATATGTAATGGTTTTGGCGCATTGCACTTTGGTTTTCATTTCATTTAACCGTCAATCTTTTTCGCTAGCGAAGCTTTTGGTGGCAGTAAAATTTATTTCAATGAGATCGCATGCATATTGGAAATAGTTTTCTACCAACACTTTAACTTCCATTCTCTGCCGTTCATTGCATAAAGGTTGGTTAAGACTGCATAGATGTGTCCCGTATCCAGAATATCTTAAGATAGAATTCTTTGATTTTATTTGTTAAGTTTTTTAATCTTGACCGTCCACCAATTTCTCTGTTATCCATATATGTATCTCCGTTTCTAACTTGTTTGTATAGAGATACAATTCTCATGTGTTTTCTAAATAAATGCCTTTTTCACATGAAGAAACAATCATAACACATGCAAGCACTTATTAATTCTAACCTTTTTAGCTTCTTATGTGCGCTGAGATTCTCATGGTTACTGAGACTCTCACGGGCAGTGGAATCGCAAAATAAACGAAAAGTAAGTCAACCTTATTACTGCCGGATTTATGGATGTAAGAGCTTTCTTGCCTTCTATAGTTACTGCAAACGTATTCTAATTGCAGCCAACACTGAATCTAATACCACATCTATCGGCCTACGAGCTTCGAATGCGATTGCATTCTCAAAATTTTTACTCACGCCATGAGCATTGACCTGATCCGCTAGATTACCAAATACTTGGAGGTAATATTTTTTCCAAACAATGCATACAAAAGTATGTGTGTATTTGTAAAAATATATTTACATGCTTATACATGCAAGCTGCCATGTTTACTTGCTGCAATATTTCATAAAAAAGGAGGCAGTGTTTATTGTATTTTAAAATAAAATTAAATTATTTCGAAAATTTTTATATTTCACTTAAAAAAGTGACACATTCTGTAATTAATGAAGACTGGGGGTAAATCAATAATAATAATAATAATAATAGTAATAATAAAAAAGAAGAATTCTTTAACACGTTAAACAGCTTTTTTCTTACTAATTGATTCTTCGAAGCAATAAACATAGTGACTCGAATCCTTTTTCTTCTAAGTTTCGTTGCACAAGTCATGGTATGGTAAGTTTACTGTAAGTCTTACATCAAATTTAATATGCACAAGTTGAGTATGCAGATTTTTAGGCGCTATAGAATTACAAATGCTGGAGACCAGTTTTGTTTGCGAACATCATAGGTAATTTTTAATTATTAAGTTGTCGTAAAAGTTTTGTTGTATCGACATTTTTTATACTTTCTTAGTATATGTTAATCAAAAGGGCTTTCTCGGCATTGAATATTTTTATAAGTAAAAGGTAGTTAAAGAAGCTGAAAAGCATCGAAACTCGATATCGGAGGAAGGTGTTAGGTGCACTAAGAGTATATGAGCAGACTTCATAAAAGCATACCTTTATTAACATCCTTTTTTAGCAGTTTCGCGATAGCACTGTTGAACCATACTTCGCCATCAATGGGTGTTACCATTGCAATAAATAACTGCTGTATGTAGACGGTGTCGGTCGTTGCGTTGCACTGCGATGCAAACAACTGCCGCATATCCGCCAGTATCCGCCGCGAAAGGATTAAGAATTTATTTAATCAAAATGCAACATTTGATCTTGGAAAGCATTTAACTATAATTGCAATTCCATGTGAACCGATTTTCCCTTAAAACTCCTAAAATGCTTTCATAATCCTATATACTGTCACTGAATTAGCAAAATTGCATTAGTTTCGATTACCCAATGACAGATTTATACTGATTTATATGCTACTTTGTATTGTTAAGGTTACGATATTTCGATTGACTAACCTATAGTTAAGAAATTCAATAGTAATTCATTTTGCAAAAATTACTTTTAATTAAATAATAATCCGAATATTTTTTTGTGATCTCATCAAACCGCGACCAATTTGATTTTCTCTATGACAGCCATCCAGGCATGAACCTTGTAATACAAAAGAATATCTAAGACACGATTTGACGTCAAGTTGCAAGGCTACGAATTATATTATCGAACACATGAAGAATTTTTCTTAATTATTTTAATTACAATATTATCCGCTCTTATAATTTTACATCAATGTTTCATTAATCTAGTCTTTGTCATGTTGTGTTGTCATTGATGCACTTTGTTGTATCAGTTGGTACTGTTATCTTTTCAATCCCTTTTATTAGATGCGATTAAACTTCTTATTCCTGTTTGTTTTGCCATTGCTTATATAAAACTGAGGTGGCAAGGACAGGAAGTCTATCATCAGGGTGAAGAGAATTGAACCGGTAGAGTAAACGCTGTACAGACCTTGATTACTTATAGTCAGGCAAAATCAGGCAAAGATATTTGATTCCGTCTACACGTTACATAACTTTTCCCTGACAAAGGTATATGACAGAGTCATGGCGATCTTTCGAGTATACCGTTTTTGTTGTTCGCTTAAGAAAAGTTGAAAGCTCGCTTAAGAAGAGCAGAATGCAAAGTGAATGATAGCATCGAGTTATTGAAAGTCAACTTTGATGAAGACCGCCCTTATTTTGTAAATTAGTTTTGCCATAAAGTTTTGAATAATTTCTTATATAAAAAAAAAAACAAAAAAACTTCC